CGATGGCCTCCAAGCTAGAAGCGATGGCCTCCAAGCTACTAACGATGGCCTCCAAGCTAATATCGATGGCCTCCAACCTAGAAGCGATGACCTCCAACCTAGAAGCGATGGCCTCCAACCTAGAAGCGAAGGCCTCCAACCGAGAAGCGAATGGCATTGTTGCCAGGTGACACTTCCTTCAGGGCAACTTCGGCGAGCAATGGTCGAGTGCGTGGACGAGAGTGAAGGCACTGTTGGAACCTCGGCAAACAGAAGCACTGATTAAACAGTGCCACATGCTCTTTGAGACTTCTTTCCTGCCAACTGGCTTTGAAAGACTTTTTGATCCTTTTTTTGATCTTATTTTCTATGTTTCTATGTGGAGGTGGAGGTGGCATTTCTTGCTGCTGCAAAGGAGAACATCAAGCTGTATGGCAAAAGTAAATTATTCGCACAATATAGACCTGTTGCTTGTGACAAGCAAAGAATATCTGAGAACCAGATGGAATTGTCAATGTACATTCTTTCACATTAGTACGAATACTCTTTAAAGGACTTCGAAGTGTTTATTTGGTCGACAGGACAACAATGAGGCCACGTTGCCAGTTGATTGTTTGAGGCACCTTTCCGTGCAATAACCCGCAGGTACATGCCAAGTCGACGAAAGACAGCATTTCCTCTTGAAAATTCATCCACAGGCCTTTGGAGATGGGCGAGCTGCCCTTCCTGGAGCCCATCCGCAGTGATTTCGTCGAAGGGGCAAAGACTGCAAAGGACAGGCTGTAAAAAGAATACTGCACGATATTATAGTTATACAATCAATGTTAGTTAATCATCTATAGATGAGGATTCACTGTGGGCCAGGCAATTTAAGTACACTAATGCAAACCACATGCTCTTGTGCGCACACGAGACACTGTTTTGTCACCTTTTGTACCTGGAGGAGGTTGGGAATGTCGTGTTCAAGCTGGGTGACGTCGAGGCAAGGTTGACAATGTGGCGCCACAAGAGTTGCTGAAACGTGTCTCGGACAAAAATAGTTATATATATATATTATATAAGTGTCCTTAAACATCTAGGAACAAAACTGCGTGAGCTATCCTGCGTCCTGGGTAGTAGCTACTTAAGCTACTAGCTACCTCTAGCTGCTACCTCTACGGCCTACCCCCGCCGTTTAAAAAAAATCGGTTTGCGTCGATGTTTGCTTCTTGAGCTGTTTCTTCATGGCTCACGAAGGCCGCAGCCGAACTCTATGGCCGAGCAATCGAAGCCCTAGAGCGAGCGCCGGTTGCCCTGAATGCGTGGGTCTTGGCCAATCGAATCTTGGACGAATTGTGCCGATATTGTTCGTTTGTTGGCAGATCATCGGAGCTGACAGATTGTTTGCACATCAATAGCTTGTGTGCTTTGTTACTTTCTTATTGAGCATTTGTTAACGTACTCCATTCATGACGTGTCATGACAGGTTTTGCATATGTAAACATTTTGTGCTCAAGTCCCCACTTGAGGTAGATGAATTTTAGTTTGTGGATGGAAGGTGGTCTTGTGACCACCGATGCTGGAGAAGCAGCTGAGCTTCTCAATGGGCTCACCAGCTTGTCGTTGGTGGGCCGGAGATTGGCAGTGAGCTTGGGTAGTGAGGACAGTTTAGCTGCCCAGCTTGAAGATTGGCTGCGTATCCCGAGGAGACCATGGCATGTCGACTTCATCAAGGGACAGGTGAAAGCAGCCGTCCTGATGGAAGACTTAGAAGGGCATGTGGATGGCGACTATGCTTCAAGCTCCATCCAAGGGATGAGGGATGCGCAGCTGGCTGAAGGGAAGAAGAAGAAAAGGCCGTGGACGAGGAGGAGGTGGCACCGGAAGTGATCGTTCCGCCAAAGCCAAGGCGGGTCTGCTGCGGAAGAGCGTGAGGCTCATCAGTGGCCGTGTGGTCACCGAGGACATAGGGTCAGACAAGATATTGGGCAAACTTGCCCAGGAGCTGAAACTATATGACGCGCAGATCCTCAAGGAGGTAGAGAAGGCAGTGAACCCAGAGCAAGCGACAGAAGCCTTGATGTGGAAGTAGCGGGTATCAACAGTGAGGAGATACCTGGGTTACTGGCAGCGCTTCAGAATTTGGGCAGAAAGGACAGGCCGGCCGGGGGATAGGCCTACAGCAATGCAAGATTTGGCTTCGCGGCGCTTGCGCTACCGCGAGAGAGGCCGCTTCTGGGTCCGTTGTATGCGTGGAGCTCAGCCATCCAGGGAAACGAAGGGGAGATGGTCTTGCCCTGGGCGGTGCTGTTCCTCCTGAACTGGATTGCCAAGACGTTGAAGGTTGGAGGGGCTTGAAAAAGTTAGCACAAGGCCACCGAGGATCGAGCCTGGATAGGTGGCTGGATTGAGGAATCCAGTGACACGTAAGCATGCAGGTGGTTTTCCATGGAGGTGACAGAGATCAGTGCACCGTGGTTGCGCCGGGACCCCACTTAAGAGAGTCATCGCGGCGCTTGAGCTCATGGCCACAATAGTAGCTTTGAAGCTGTGGATGAAGGGCAATGATGGGAGGGCTGAGATCATGGCGGAGGCATTCACTGATAACAAAGGGAACGCCTTCATTGTCAAGAAGGGCTTGTCTACAAAGTATCCGGTCTGCAGAGACGCTCCGAGTGAGCGATTCGTTTCAGAGGAGGAGAATGTCTTGGCTGACGCGTTGACAAACCTGGAGTTCGGTGCATTCAACCACTTGCTGAGAGAGAAGGTGGAGGAGGAGAACATGAACTGGCTGGTGCTGGACGAACTCATGAAAAGCAGCAGTGAACTCTACGACTCTACGAGGAGATCAAGAAGCACAAGATGGAGAAGAAGCCGGGAGCGCAGGCGATTTCGAAGAAGTCGCAGAAATATTTTGGTAGATGGACCTCCTGACTGAGTTTGGAGATTCCAGTGTTGGTGGCTTTGCTGTCTCGGTTTTCGAGAAACGTTCATATTGTCGAAACCATTCATGACGTGCCATGACAGGTTTTGCATATGTAAACGTTTTGTGCTCAAGTCCCCACTTGAGGTAGGTGAATTTTAGTTTCCCTACCCACCTCTGCCCAAAGTTCACCATTGAGCGCACTCGGTGGCAAGTATCTTCCCGAGACGCTCTTGGGACGGGGATTCCGGTGTTGGTGGCGCCCACCTTCACTGGCGGCAGGGAGGTCCGGTCACCCGAGCAAAAAGCAGTGCGCCTTTGCTGTCTCGGTTTTCGAGAAGCGTTCATATTGTCGAAAGCATCCAATTGATTGCAATACAGACAGATTGCAATACAACAGGATCAACATTTTGATACACAATGCATGTCGTTTTTGTCACATTTTGTCACTTGCCACCTACAGCCGAGGACAAGGAACACTTTTGCCGGGCAACGTCGTTGGGGTGGAGTCAAGCAAAGCTGATGTGGAGTTGAGAACCGAAGGAAGCCTTGAGGTGGGAAGTTTTTGCACAAGAAGGGTGGGTGTGTGAAGGGTGTGGAAGCTTGAGGTGTCAAGCTTGGACTTGTCACGAGGGGTGTGATGATCATGCCACATTCCCTTCCGCTGGAAGCTCTCCAAAGCCGGAGGTTGTTCGTGGGATTCCTCAACATGCTTTGATTGGCGTTCAGCTGGAGCACCTTTTGTTACAGGCGGAGTCAAGCAGACCATAGCAGACCTAAATTTGAGCATTGCAAGGCAAGAATCGAAAAAAACCCTCCAACTACGACGGCATGATGGCAATGTGGGAACATGGCCAATTTTTGAATGTGTTGGTGGAAAGATGGGGGGTAGAGGTGATTGATGGTGATTGTATATTATTCTTGGATTTTCTTCAGAAAAGGTTGTCGCTTTTGTATACATAGAGCTATGGCTTTGGTTGGCCCGGCAGAAGTGTTTTGAAAAGGCATTGGATTGATTTGATTACATACAGTACATCATACAGAATCACACACATTGAGACATGTTTGCATTGTTCCTCGGGTATCGATTGCCTAACTTTCCTGAGTGCTGTTTGTGTCGACGACATTTCTCCTTGCCCTGGCTGGAGGGCAGCCTCCACTTGAACCGCTCTAGAGCATTGGCGCAAATTGGACAGCAACAAGAGGCTGCTCAGGTGAGGTGTCTTGGTGCGACTTCACAGGTGTAAGTAAGAACGCGTTAGAGACAAAGACATGCACTGCATATTATTACAGAGGTGTGTGTACTAGTGTGTACGAGTTCTATTTCAGATGGAACAGATGGAATGTCCATTTTCTTGCCGGCCTGAATGTTTGATTCCTTCTGCTTTAATCTGGCTCTTAAAGGACCTTTCCATTGCAATTGCTTTGTGGGCAACACATTCGGCATCGGGCGGCTCCATCCCAGCGGAGGGCACGGAACAGTTGATCAAGGCTGAGCTGGATGTTTCTGTTTGGAGTCGGCTGAGATGAAAGCATCACGTCAATGAGACCAATTGTGTTGCAGTGAGCATCAATGAGCCTTGGATTTGCCGAAGAGAATCGAAGAGACTGTTCATCTTGGAGGCCATTCCTTCTAGGTTGGAGGCCATCGCTGTTGGGTTGGAGGCCATCGCTATTAGGATGTAGCCCGTCGCTCTTAGGTTGGAGGCCATCGCAATTACTATAGGTTTCTTGGAGATTCTCGGCCTCCTCGGAATGTGTTAGGCACACTATTTGCGGGCCAAGACTCGAATCTCAAGGCGGAGAAGTTGGAGAAGAAATGAGTGGTTTCCCTGGAGATCATCATCCTTCATCTAAATTATGGCAACATCATGCAAAATCAGTAGTAGATAGATACACTACTAAGAACAACCTTTTAGGATCCAGACTGCACGACAAGGGCCTTGATCTACCATCAAAGGTGTGTTTTGGCTTATGGTGCACAGCTTTTGCAGAGGCAGCGCCCAGAGCCAGCACGGGGAGATCTTCGCCGAGCTTGGGCCTTGGGCCCCAGTGCGGCAACAGCAGCGCTGCTTCGACAGGCAGGGTTCCCTTGGTGAGGGTTTTGGTTTCCCAGCCTTGCTCTCAGACATCTTGCAAGCGTTGTGCATAATAATCATAATATAGATTTAGTATATTTTTGCATAATTACAGTATCTCATTATACTTTACTATACGTACACATGACATTTATCATCATCCGTGTCCGTGGCCCCTTTCCTGTATCTTGGAAAGGATGCACTCGGCTGGAGTCAAGTCAGTCTGAGCATCCCGCAAGAAGGTAGGGATATTCGACAGGCGGAGCGTGAAGTGGACATCATGGAGAAGGAGAAGGCATTCTTCTTTGTGAGAGTTTGTGGTTGCAAGATGCTGCTGGGCATTCTCCACTTGACAGAAATTTTCAATTTTTGATTTTTAGGTGTCAAGGCATCTTCCTGTCCTTTGCACAGGTGAGGAGCAACAAGAAGCTGGCCAAGGACTGCAACGCAGCTACCCAAAACATCCCAAGACTTGAGGGCAGACGAGTACTCAAGATGCATCTCCGATGTTTTTCAACAAACTAGCCTTTTTGGCATTAACTTGCCCTCATTATTTCCTGGTAGAGCTTGTGGTTTGATGCTGGCAGGAGATTGCGAAGCTTGCAGATGTGGCCATGTCAGGCAGCGACCACGGTGTGACACGAGGAGGAACACTCACAAGCAGAGGCTCTACAAGAACACCTTGTGATTGACCAGCTTGCTGTCAAAATGTGAGAACACAAGACTGCGATGAAACCGAGTATATACTGTACATCAGTCTTTCGGATGCCACCAATTGTTTTCCCTTCCATTTGGCATGGTGCGCTCCGATGAATCAATGTCCTTGCGGTGGTTGACAGACCTTCAATTTGGAGGTCTGGATGATGACCAGCTTGCTTCGTTTGGTCGCAACCCATCGTGACGGAGTCTTTGTGGTGCAAAAGTCTCCCTCGGCATGTTTCTGTCTCAATATGAAAGAGTGGCATCTTGAATATGTTTGAATGCCCCAACGGATACGTGTTAGGACTGAACAGAACAGTCAGTTGAGGAAATGTTGCTGCATGGGCTGCCGTGGCAGCAGCAAACATCTTATTGCTGCAATTTCATTGATCATTGTGAAGATTGTTGACTCGTTCTGGCACTGGAAGAAGCCTGTGAAGCTGTCGCTGCCGTTGACACAATGCCACAGCCACTATGCACAAGTCAAGTAGACTAAGGAGTAGACTACCAATGTAGACAGTAAATTGTATTTTGAATCTGAAGAAAAGATGTGTTGCAGTCGCAGCACCGTGGCTTCTCCCAACGGAGCTTCGAGCATTCTCGGCTCAAGCCTCAAGCAACACAGCAGGGCTTCCTCGCTGGATCCTCCAATTGCGCATCATGGTAAAATTGGTGGACCTCAGTGAAGCAGATTTGCGAGAGCAAAAGATGCAGCGAAGAGAAGCATTAATGAACTTCTTGGAGAGGCATTGCTTCGTTGATATCCACTATCCACCTGCTGATCGACCGAACCGCAAGATCAGCTTTGAAGCCCTTTCCCCAATCCAAGTGGCGCAGGAGATTGGT